TGGAGCCAAGGAAAAGAATCAGTGGGAAGAATGTGATTAATGATCAAAAAATGTGTACTTACTGTCCCAAAAAAAATGTGAACACTGTTTGATTGTTAGTAACTCCCTTGCTTTCATGTCCTTCGCCGAGCTTGAGGCACCATTCTATAGAGCGAGGTTTGACTTAGATTTACAAATATGGAGCGAATCATCGACCGCTCTTCATAACTGTAGGATTACGGTAGGAATTTGGACAAGGATTTTAGGCTATTGGAGGCCACATTCCGTCTCGCAACAAGACCAAACAAACCATAAACTTCTATACTATGGTAATAGAGGCCGCTGATTCCAAATATGAAATTTTCACTGTACTGTGATGCTTCTTCTCAAGGTTATCCCAGGAAACCGAAATAACTGAATTTCCAGCATTTGTCAGAAATGTGAATACACCGTCAAAAGAGACCGCTAAAAACACTCATAAAAAGTTGAGTAATGGAATCAGCGTGCACGAAAACCCTAGTACACAATTTCTCAGATTTTTTGAATAAACTTTTGTCAAATGGCATATTTCACTGAAGATCCACATGCTAGAAGTTCATACCGTAATCCTACAGTAACGAACAGCGATCGTGATTCGCTCCATATTACAAATCTAAGTTGAGCCTCGCTCTACAGAATGGCGCCTAAAGCTCGGCGAAAGACATGAAAGCAACGGAGTTATTAACGATCAAACAGTGTTCACATTTTTTTGAGACACCCTGTAGAATATACAATGCACTGAACCATAAGAAACACACCAACTGAGGAATATACGAAGTGAATCAGAATGGAGAAGGTCGTATAGATGGTTTCTACCCGATTTGCACTCTGATCAAGGCTTAATGCTCAGGAATGCAGAAGAAGTTGATTCATGGGCGGAAGCGGAATAAGTCTTGCCTTTGATCATAATAAGTCCAGGTAGAACGGCATGGACTGGCTTAACTCTGTTTCTTAACAAAAAGCTTTCGCAGAAGTGCTTGAATACAGACGAGTCGAGTTGAGTTTGTCTAGGATGGCACTAAAATCTGAGAGGACTGCTCAGGGCCACGCTGAACGTATGTTAGGCGTTTGAGCGTGAGAATTCATTCACTCAACAACATGGACATGTTGATCAACGAAAATTCTATTTGGAGTTATCTACTCAAGCAGAAAGTTTTGCTACTTCGTTTAGTGTACATATTCGGCTGCACACCTTCATGTAAGCAATTTCTGTTAGTCCATTCCACTTAATCTTTAATCTTGTAGTTTTTAATTATAGGAAAAATCGTATTCTTCGATATCAGCAAACCCGTTGAGATTCTCCGCAATAAAATAAATTGTAATTTATAAGGAATTGTTGGTAATAAGATCTTCTGCGCTAAGTTCGAGCCCTACATACATTGCTTATCTGCCAGTTTCACAGTTGACATAAAAGATAAAAAAACATAGAAAAGGTGAGAAAGCGAAAATGACCATTTTAAATTCCAAACTTATATGAACACTAATCAGACGTCTTACTTTCAAGTTTGACAACCGGAATATAGAGAAATTCTGCATCTTAGAAATGCCTAAGCTTCTTCACTATGATATTTTGCGACCTTGGAAAAGCAGAAAACATCGAAGGGACCAATTTATGCGAGAATTTTACTTCACTTTATTTTATCTCATAAATCCAGGTGCCCAAGAAGAAATATCAAGAAGGAAGTTCAAAAACAAACCAGACCAGCAGTCTCTAGCCACAGAGCGATGAAGGAAGTTTGAGGATGCGTAACAAGACGTGAAGCACTAGACTCATGCTGGGAAAGCAAAAAGAACGAGCACTTTGTCCAACAAAATTTTCAAGAATCTTGCGTGCTTAGAGCTTAAGATAAATCCGTTTTTGAGAGTCAGCGGGCCAGAGGTAATAGCTGAACTCACCCGAATTGCAATTTATTTCAAAGGATAGTAAGATTCTGATTCGGAGGGTAGGAAAAAACAGCTACCAATTATGCTCGAGTATTCTAATCGAAATGTTAGTTCCGCAGTCTGCAAAAAATGTGAAAAACAGATTCATCGGCAAAATTGCGAAAGCATGTACAGAAATGTTAGAACTCTGAAGCATTGCGGAGCTATGCTATCGAGAAATTGAAAGCATTCCACACGTAAAGTGTTCGAGTTGACAACACATCAGCAGCAGTGACGAAATGATGGGAAAATGTATTGGCGAGTGTAAGCAGAAGTAAACATGCGACATGCTTCGCAGTGTAGAAAATTCGTTAGTGTGCACTTCCGCAAAAAACAGGCAAGGTTTCGACGACTCTCCTTTTGTCTAATCGCTTTTGCACGAGTCCAAAAACTAGTGGCTCGTAAAATCACCGTTGAGAGGATTGAGGTGATTAACACTTGCGAAATGATACATAAAACGTAATTAGATGACCACATAAGGCTACACTCAAAAGAGATGCATTTACCAAAAAAAAATTCCCACCTACTGCAGTCAACGTATAACGTTGGAGATTGATAGCTTAGCGCGCTTGATCTTGGTCTTCATTAATATTGCAATTGGATTTACTCGCTGGGAGTTTCGATTGGCACTCCTCTAATCTGCCGTAAACGAATTTGAATCGCTCTATTTAGCTTTGGAAGGTGGAGTGACATGCAATCTCAAGAAGGAAAATTCACAACAGCAAAGAGTATTTCTGGTTGAAAAGAACAAAAACGAACATCAGCTGATAATAAATGACATGTAAAGTAAACGTTTCAGTGTTTTCTTACGAGAGAAGGCACACTTGGATGCGATCTCAAACGATTAAAGACACCTTTCACTCAGATTCTTGACTTCCATGTTTTAATCGTTCCGGGATCTTACATGTCCCTGATTCCGAATATGAAGTGGAGAATCTGCCAAAGCCCGGACAATCCCCGTCCCGGAGAACCCGCAGGCTGGCTTTCCGGAACGGTGATTGGATAGCGCGCATGGATGGGCGGGCATTACTGGAGAGGGGCGGTGCCGACTTGGGTCTCATGCATTTTCGCATTTCGAAGCGATTTTCTCGCCATCGAAGCAACATTTTGCGCCGCGGCTTGAGCATTGGCTTGATAGGGGTCCTACTATCAAAAGCTGCCACTCAAAACCCCTAACTCAAAGGCAGTATCCGGACAAAAACTCGATTTCTAGAAAATCCACTTACCGGGGGTTATCCGCAACGTTGAATCCAAAAATTCACATTAGAAGCGCGAAAACGGCGAGAACATGCGTTTTCCAAGGCCTTACAGTTTGAAATTCGACGCTCTCGCCAGGGCTGAGACGCAGAGTGCCTGCGGGACCCTACGATTTTGACTGTTGCGGCATGCGTACTCTGCCGTATAGCAGGAATACAAGCAGGTCGGAGGACCCCGCCCCAAGGCGTAAATTCCCCCACTTTCCAATCGTTTTTCTTGCTTTAGGTGGAACATTATAACCTCGTACCTGCGCGATGCTCTGTCTAAGGGGGGCCACTTTCGCATGGCACTGAAATCCCAAAACCCCCAACTTGCCCGGACACTGCCTTTGACGAGGAATTTCTGTGCAAACAGTACCCGAATGGACTGTACCCATTCGGGTACTGTTTGCACAGCAATTTTTGTCACTGAGAGCTGATTACGAACACGATTGAGCTGACAACGGGTAAAAAGCGATTGCAACAGATTTTTCGGTCGCGACGTAGTTCTTGCGACGAAAGCGTCGGAATGTCGTAAGTTTTGATTCTGCAAGTAACAAACTCGCAGAATTTTCAAACTAAGGTACGGTTATTTTTATTTCTTCTAGAAATTCGGAATTTGCTTCTATTTTGGCTTGGAACTCAATGCGGACCGAGCTTGGTGTGAACTTTCGATCTTGTAAAACTTGTGTTGGGCTGTCGTATGGTACTCAAAGTCTTGTTAGAGCTACAATTAGACTGATTATGTCGATGAAAAGTCCGATATAAAAAGACTTTGGGGCATCCCCATAGTTTACGCTCTGAAATGAATTCAGTCTACTCTAGAGCAGCATGACGTCCTCCAAGTACGGGAGATGAAATGTTCGACCGAAATCCCATGGCTGATCCGAACGCATATGAAGCAAGAATAGATCAGGTTATATAATCGTCAACAAGAGATTTCTCACGCATTGCCAAAGAACTATGTACTTATAAAATTGTTTATTAACTCTTTGAATTAATTATTCTCCGATGGGATACCAATTCCAATGGAATACCCGAACAGGGGAGATGTTCGGAAGGCGAGATTTCTTCAGTTGTCCATTTTAACAAACCAGTTTAGAGCTAAGGGAGTCCTTCAAAGAATACCAAATAAAGTGCTTGAGCTTGCTAATTATCTGCAGCTACTACTTGCTACGTTTAATAAAACTTGATTGAAATATTCACGAGAACGCCATTAGTTGTTTTCAGGGGCTTTTGACCCCCCAACACTTACCTTTTGAACCTATTTCAGAATATTAAGATCAAGTAACCTATGGATGGGTCACACATATATTCTTAGATTTTCAGTTGGAGTCGTCAGAAAGCGATATAAGGTGGAAAAGGAGCTTTCACAACTTTTGAGAAACCGCAAGTTATTTTGAAGACTGTAAGCTACCGTCGACGTTGAGGAATTTGGGATTGACAAAACATAAACACCTAAAATTGTGTTGTTGAATTGCTATCTTCAAAATAGGTCACAGTAAAAGTTGTAATCATTTTTGATTGAAAATATTGTTGATCCATCCAGCAACACTTGAAAGTGAGCAGCATAATTGTAATTTGAAAAGCTGAGCATGAAAATGCTTCTCCCACATTTTTAGTAATTTTCAAGTCATACCTTTCTTACCTCAATGAACTTCTCTTGATTACTTATGACAATGAATATTACAGATTTTGCTATTTTTTACCGAGGAGTTCCTAGGGTAGTTCTGTTAATTTTAATTTTTTTTACTCCGTGTTGAATGATCCGAGGAAAATAGAAGGCTTTTTCTGGCTTTGTTTTTCGCAGAGATCAAGCACATATGTTATATGAATCTTTACTCTAGCACAAACAAAAACAAACAATACAATAGTGAAAGTATTCTCCATCTGTACACAGTGTTTGTCAGCAGATCACTATTTGTCATATTACTTGCTAGCGATGCATTATCCGACTGGAATAGAGCATCTTCCCCTGGTGTCGTCATCAAACCTACCTTTTCATTATCCCGCTCAAGAATTTTCGATTTTTCTAGCTGTGGAGGCATTATGCGATTCTGATCTCGTTCTTCCTTCGAATACCTTGTGGAGGTGCTGGCTGGACGCAGTCGAGTCGTGGTGGATTCCACAAGTTCCTCTCCCTCATCCTCATACTCCTCGTCTTCGAGATCTTGGCGAAATTCAGTTGAAGTGATAATTTTTTCTGTGGAACTCAAATAAATCGTTGTTATTTTAGGAGTCGTTGTGGTCAGTCTGTGGCGAGCTAATGGCGTAGAAGGTCGGGTAACTTGGTATGTTAGATGGGCTCTTAAATTTACAATGGGAGTCGTTGTTCGAAGCTTTGAAGCGGGTTTGATTTTATGCTTCGATGTGGTACGTGACGTGCCCATGCGCCTGGATTTTTCTGGAAAAAAAAAGGTTTTTCGTTGATTTTTTTGCCAAATTCCCCGCTTTGGGTGTGGCTAAAGCTCACCAAATGAAGGCAGTGGATTCGCTTCCATCTTTTTCAACGTTGACTGTCTAACTATCCCGATATCAAACGCATAGTTTGTGTAGACTAGACATGTGCCCGGCCTGTTGAGAGCCGTATTTGCAGCAAAAAGTCGCGTTACGAATGGCTCTACCTAAAAAGGAAACTTTTGCTTAAAGACCACTCTTACAAAGTGATGTCAACATCCAAGAACAATCAAAGGTTCAAAAACCACTATTTGTTCCTTTGAACTACTCAAACTTTTCATTACGCCATCACTAATTGCGCCGTTTAAGTGAATGTTCATGATCGTAGATCGCCATATTTTGCCTTGAGGCAAAAGTGCTTAGGATCGTGATAGGATTAATCGAGCGAGATGCAAACATTAGTTAATCTGTCTACTCGACCGAAGAATTATGTGGGAACTACTAGAGCAAATGGGTACAGAGGGAAATCGCATTATTGTGCCGTTTTAAAAAGGGCGACTTGAGGACCAAAATACACAAGGGAACACTATTTTTATAAAGTTGGGCCCATAACCTCCTTGTAATTATTCCAGTTTTTATTGTAATTGTATTCTAAATTTATGCATTAGGATTTTCTTAAAATTCATAACCCTACTGAGAAAACTTTTGATTGGCATAAACCTTGCAGCATGGAAAGAATAAGTCATAAACTGTCCTTAACTTCTTATGACTTTTACCAACAAGAAATCATACAAATATTGTTGCACTGTTTCCACATCCAATAAAAACTTGAATCTATGCAAGTTGATTCAAAGTCAAAAAGTTATTGAAATGTTGGACAGAACGTTCTGAACATACTGAATAATTTAACAATAACATGGAAAATTTCTCCTTAAGAATCGAACCTAAACCAAAGCTCGGTACGAGGTGGCTTTTGAAAATTGCAAAAAACAAAGTTACCCTTGACTTTCGCGAGTTTTTACGAAGTTCTCTTCGACCCCACGCTTTAAACGCAAAAAAAACCTCAAAAAACGAAACGTCGACCAAAAACCATAATTGTTCATTTCGGCCTCAAAAACGATATCCCATTGCTTTTTGTCCCAAAAACGATATCCAGCTTGCTTACAAGCACGCCGACTCCTGATCTAGACATAAAGGTTGAAAAAAATTTTAGAAGATTTTCTCTCTAAGAATATAAAAAATACAATTTTCAGTCCAATTTAGATGAACAAGGTTGTATGAGCACTCTGTTATTCAAAAAAAATTCCTTACTGATCTATCCGTTTCTGTATACAGAAGAAGATTTAGATCTGCTCCCATGCTATTCAGCCACGGTCGACCTTCATGAGTTGTGTTTAGATGGTGTGTAACTAGCGTATTAGGTCTGAAATAGTATATAGATCTTGGAATACATACTTTATGAATTGAAAAGTTGATTCAAGACACTGAATACAATACCGTAACATATCTGAGTGAAAACTGGCAGGCTACCACAAAGAGTGAAAAAGTGGGTGAGGGAATTTACACAACGCAAAAGGCCTGCTGCCTATAGTTAGCAGAGTTCATAAGGGCTCGTGAACTAGCAGCAAGCTGATTTACACCCAAATTGCACCGAGACGAGCTGATTCTGCATGGGATAACTACGCCATTATCTGAAAGTTCATGAAACTGGGATTTGGTCGAAATTTGAATCCAAAGTTCAATAGTAAATTTAGTCCGACTGGGGTAAAGCCTCGTATTATTGGATGATTTTCATGCTGTTTCCGAATATGCTAATGGTTTCGCTTAAAACTGAAACTTTTTTCCTTCGAAACTGTTATTTTTCTACCCATAAATTCACTGCGAATTTGGTAAAATTGATATTCAGAAGTTTTCTGACATGCTGTTCCGAAAATGATGGTGGTCTAGCTTGTAACCTTAAAATTTCTTTCTTTTTCAATTTCAAACTTTCCATAAATTTTACTGCAAATTTGTTAAAAACTGTGCTTAGAGTTTCTCTATTATGGGCCCGTGTAAACCCCCTCTCTGCGCAACTCGGCTGGGGGCGGGCCTACGTTGAACGTAGAGCGCCTCAGTCCGGCATCCGGTGAGCCATCGATCCGGATTCGGATCGCTTTCTACACCTAGAGATCTTGTGCGTTCTCAAAAACCAAACCCGTTTAGCGGTTTGGTCGAACGGCTAAGTGAATGGGTTTCAACACGAAGGTCCATGGTTCAAAGCCGGCTAGTGGTACATTTTTGCGCCACCGCAGGACAATCTTTGATAGCGGCCGTTATGGAGAAAAATCGATGGCGACCGCTATCAAGGATATCGCCAAGCAAATAAATGGGGAAAACAAAACAATCATATTTTGACGAAGATATCACGTTAAAACGAAAATGTTGGAACATAAATGAAGCAATCCAAGAAATCCTTGTTTAAAGCAGTATTTGAAAGAGGAACGTAAGCGAGCCCTGAAAAAAGGAATCCTGTTTTTTGCTTTTCTCTCCGCTATCAGCTGTTCATTGACCCTCTCCCATTTAGGCCGCCGAAATTGTGCTATTGTAGGGATTTTGCACCGCAGTAGTACGTCAGCTGAATTCTCCCGTAAGTTACTCACGCAACTTGCGGGAAATTTGTCTGATCCTCCTCTTAAGCACACTATCTCTCTCAGGTCACCCAAAATTTAACCTCGGATAAGTGGCATTCTGGTGAACTGACTGTGACACTTGACCGGACAGTCTTCTGACTGTTGAACTGACTATCCTAAAGCACGAGAAGGTGGGCGGGATCAGGTTCACCCGAGGAAGTTCTTCTGAGTGATTAATCTCAAGTCAACTGAGATGAATGGAGGTTTACTACGGGCCACGCTGTCGGAAACAGCATTTTAGAAAACCCCTAAATATCAGTTTCACCGAAATTGCTGCTAATCTACGAAAAAAAAGTATGTCGAAATATAAGAAAGTTTTGAGATTTCAAAGAAAACCGATAGCATATTCGGAAACAGGGGAATAGCATCATAGAAAACCCATAAACAGCAATGTGGAAATTTCTCATGGAAGAAGTAAAACGGTGAAAATAAGCTGAAATTCAAAAAGAAAAAAGTTTAAGGTTTCAAGCAAAACTATCATCATATTCGAGATTTGAAGGCGAGACTCAGTGGAGATTTACTACTGAACTTCGAATCCGAATTGTGATAAAATCCCGGATAAACTGCTGGATGATGGCACAGATTTCCTGTGCAGAATCACTTCGTCTTGATGCAAATTGAGTGCAATAAGCCCTGCTATGCTATCAGTTTATGATCTCTCATGAACTTTGTCAACTATGTGACGGCGAGTCTTTCGGATTATGTAGGTTATGTTTTCCTGAAAAAGTAACTTGCTGAGAAAATTCTGACCTGAACAGCAAGTCATAAGCACATTCGAACAGCATACTGCGTTCGAAACGATTCCGAACAAAAATATAGTTTCTCTGATTGTCCAAAGCTACCACATATTCACTGGCCAAATCGGGACCAGTCCAAACTTCTAAAGCTAAAAGAGTATGCTCAGTGCAAAGCTCCAACAACAACTTGTTAAAATTCTAAATTGCTCACGTTTAGCATGATTATTGATGCTGATTTTCTCCAAATGCTTAAGAAATCCTTCATTGTTTATCTGGAACTGATGGACTGTCCACAGTGCCCCGGTAGAGTGAGCGTCAATGAAGTAGATCACGTCCTGAAAGAAGAATTATCAAGAAAAACCTCCAAATGGAAATAATGTCTGTATGAAAACTTACATTGAATACCGTATCCAAAAAAGATAAGTCCGGTTCGAGTCGAAACATTTGTGGTGGTGAATGTGAACAGGACGCATACGGTAGTGATGACAGAAGTGAATAGCTGCAAAATTCATTTTAAGATGGAAAAACAGTTCAACGTAAGAAGCTAAGCTGTAAGCTTGTCCGGATTGCTGAAGTTTTTTATACAGATCTTGCTCTTTACTTGATCACAATTCATTTACTAAAGTCTATCTGGGCCAGAAATACAACGAAAAAACGCCCAGAAGAAAGGAAAATGAGCAAACTCAATGTTTGAAAAGTAGAGGACTTTTAGGTTGCTTTGATTATTGATGTTGTTAACCACTTTGTAGCTTTTGTAGGAGATGTGCTTATCGAATTAAATATAATAGTAGAAGATTTATTGGTTTATTGAAAATAAAATTTTTATATATCTTATGGTTAGTAGAGAAGTAAAGTATTGATTTCACCGATGAAGCTCAAATATTCAGAAAATAAAGGTTCACCCCCTTGCTGTGAAATCTTATTCGCTTTTTATAGGTTACTCTGTCAATTAGAGAAAACTAATCTCAGGTAATTTTGATTTTAGTGAAAAGCAAAATACAAAACTATATATTACTGATTAAGCTCATAATTGAAAAAAATTGTCCCCTCCGGACCATTTAAAATTATCTTCCAAATATTTCTTGGTCCCCTAACATTATTCATAGGTGAAACCCTGAGTTTTTCTCCTGGCAAAGGTGGCCGCCAGACACAAACAAAATGCGCATGGTTCTCCTCGATGATGTATTACTTGAGGATTATACGTCATGCGACCAGCCATCAACCATGAGTTATTGTTTCTAACACCGAGAGTCTATCATATGGCTTAGAGAAAAGTAAAGGAAAAACATTTATGCTCAAAAATTTGCGATGTAATTTTTGTGCACAATTGGAGAAAAATTTTTCATTTCGTGGTTTGGGCGTCTGCAGGTCCGATTCAAAGCTAAGAAGTGCCATAGATGGGAGAAAATGCAGGGTTCGAAAATCTATTGCTCACGAGCAGAGATTTGAAATCACGTCAGAGCAACTTTTATTTCTTATGCTATTGTTGTAATGCGCTTAAAAAAGCCTATCTGCTATCACCTTTCTTTAACAACATTGGGGAAGATTATCATATTCTGTGGCGGTCTCATTGCCAAAATTTTGTTGAGGGGGGGGGGGGGAGTGACAAAAATTGCAGTAACAAATTAATAAACAGAAAGAGTTCCGAGAATTTTCACGCATGCCAAAGCCACTTTTTTCGGGCCTATATAGCATGCTATAACAATATTTTCAGCAATGTAAAATTAGTAGACAGCACGTTAAACAAATAAGTACGACAAACGACTTTATTGCACACATGGAGCAACGTCCACAAGATTATGTTTTCGTATCTTGGAAAAGCTACACCTATGAGTTTGGTAAACCCCCACTGATTGTATTGCGCAAAAAAAACTTGAAAATCAAGCTATTCGTAGATACATCCGATCAATAATTTCCCACGGTCGTGGGGAATTAATGGTGAAACCGCAACCAAACTAAAATAAAAATTTGCTATGACTCTAAACATTTTCAGAGTCCTGCAAAATTACTTGAGCGTTTTTCTTTATCAGCTTTACCCCTCCCCCTGAAACAGTTGCATAGATTGTTGTCAAGCACTGTTGAAAGTCCATATCTTCACTTAAGCGATGTTGGTTCGAGCAGAAGGCCGAAAACAGTCTATTATACCAACTAAAACCTGCAGCCTAGCAGCTCCGGGTATCTTTTGCCCGTAATTATTGAAATAACTCGTATATCGAGCTCTACAGCACGACAAATGCCTTTTTAAATATAAAAAGTTGGATTGGATCTCAGAAATTGTGTACAATTCGACAGCGACAGGCAAGCTCAGCACACTTGAGTTACATCCGGGGAATGAGATGTGAGTCAAAGAATCAGATTTTATCAGAGAAGCCAAGGACTTACCTGAACAAATGGTCGCCAAATAGCATCTCCGTTGGCGGAATTTGCACATCCAGCGTGCATATCCGATTTCCTGCTTGTTTCGTCACCAACAGTAACGAATTGTGCGACTGAAAGGATGAAGACCAATATGACGTGTTGCTTATACAAACCTACTAGAGCATTAGTAGCAATTAATCTTTTCGTTTACATCCATAAATACGGTACGTCGATGCTGGCTTAAAATTTGGTAGTCTTTCATGAGAAAAAAAACGTATATTCGTGGCTCATCTCATGACATCAAAAATGCGCAAATCGTTTGCAAAATCCATGTGTTTCCGATTTTCGATTTTAGCTGACGCCAACGTTAACGCTCACGATCTTGGATATTGCCAGCTCATAATTGATTACGCGGCAGCCATAATTGACTCGTGTTTGGGATCACCTAACTTTGAAAGGACACTTGTCTTACAGAAAAGAAGGAGTTTTGGGTGGATTCTTATGAGCTCCTTTCGAAAATGTGCTTTCATTTGTGAATATCTGACTTCAAGAAAAGTTATACCGACAGGCGCTTTCGACTCAACATCACTGTCGCCAAAATCGACTATGAGAAGATTAAGGAGTGTCGCCAATGGCGATACTGTAGATTGTACATACTGTATGTTCATTACTGTTCATCGCTGTTTATTCGTTTTGCCTTGTATTGTAGTGATTAGAATAGTGCCCACGAGGATCAGCCGGACTATCAGAACTTCACCCCATCACCTTATTACAATTATCTTCAGTCAATAATGACTTTGTAAGTCAACAAGCTTGAAGACCGATGTACCGATAAATGAGGGAGGTCGAGCATTTTGTCCACAAGTGTTCTGCTGTGAGAACGATAATTCTCCGATAGACACATTCCCACAAGTCTTCTCCGGGTAGGATTAGATCCAACAAGTATTCTGGACTGGGAGCAACAAATCTCCTGCTCACTAAGAACTCTCTAAAGGATCAATCACAAGTATCCTGGGAAGCAGTTCGAGGATTGACAAGTCTCTGGGGAAGCTCCGCGTTGACAGTATCTACATCATCGTTGTTTGTAGTTGTCTTATAATAAAGTTGTTTGCTCAAGTCTGAGATACCATACAGACCCGCGTGGCAACTTCAAAGCAGCTTCACTACCCATCCCTTTGTTACAGTCGCGATCATTTCGTAAATTGTAACTACTCTCCTTTGTTTCTTTGAAATGGATATGTAGCAGTAATGCTGACACAGTCCTACGATTACTTTTTATATCACGACTCTATTGGTAAAAAAATTCATAAGAATTTTTTCAAACGTTAGTTCTCACGGATTTACAAGGAACTGAAGCATTCCTTTAAGTGCGTCAACCGCGAGAAATCTTACAAAGGATTTTTTGTACAAAAGGATATAAAAAGGGAGGCTGGTCTGCAGCGCATGGACAGTGATAATTGCTCAATTTTGTTCAGTTAGGTAACAAGGTCTACAATGAAATGTATCAAAATTCAGAATTCGAAGAACAGCGAGTCATAGAGATATGCGCGAAAGCATGAAAGATACCTCTCGATTCAGACTTAGAGGGTTTGTATCACAAGAGAATGGAAAAATCAGTATTTACCATAGCGAAGCGCGGGAACTCAAACGCATGACCCGATTTATCCATTTTAGAGCTTATGTCATTTCTATCTATTGATATGTTGCCTGTTTGCTTAGTGCAGCATAATATATCTCAGTAATTCGTGAATTTTGGTGTCATCATTTTTTACAAAGCAACAAGTACAGTTGGAGCCTTACTGAATATAAATTTTTTCACTTTGTTTCAGGAAGTAAACAATGGCTGTGTATTGCAAAAGTTAACCTAAAGTGGTCACTTTATGTGTATACTACATCGGCTACTTATAACATGTGCAGTAATGTGATCGCTGCAATGAGCGAAAAATAACTGGAGTTTCTGCAGACAGAAAAATGAGCCAGAGATGCACATGAAGGCGACTGCAAAGAGAAAAATATTATGGACGGAGAAAACAGATATTCTAAGGCTATCGCTGTACACCTAGTACATATGGCGTTTTTGAATGTGAATCAAAGTCGAGGCGCTTCAGGCAACTTATTGTTAGAGGTAGAAATGGATAATATTGCTTTTAGCAAGGCAGAACTTTCTGTTTGTCTTATAGTGTGGAGGAAAACGTCAAATTAATTTCTAATAGACTATAATTCATTACAAAATCAGACGGCACTTTCCACAAATGAAAAGTTATATCAGCAGGTGAGGGCAAAGAAATCTCATCAAATCTATAAAACAGATAAATTAGAAACACCTTCGACGCCAACAAAGCAATAGACATCTCAGATTTGAGATACGTCTATTATCAAAAACAGTAGCCGAAAACTGAAAAACTTCCATTCCCCGCCACTATATCCTTCCCCTCGATCTTCCTATCTCGGACATGTCAATCAGCTGACTCGTACCGCGTTGTCCTACTCAGCTGACCGGCATCGGACCGAGCACAAAAAATTGCCCATTAAACTTGCCGGGGCCTTTTCCCACTCGCATGAGGTGGCTTTTCCTGTCATAATTTTCACAAGTATCATGTATTTCGCTTTGAGTAGTATAAGGTGATCTACTACACCCCCTTTACATCGGTAGGAGCACCACCAAAACCACATTTTAATACCTCCATACATATCAAATAGCTTGGTGAATTTTTCAAGTCTATGTGGAGACAACAGTCCTTTTTGAATTATGATAATCCAGTTCACCTACCTTCAAGTGAAGTTGAACCAGGTTCGGATAACAATAGGAATTGTGAATGTTGACGTTAATCGTCGACAATAATGCAATTTGCGAAGGTCGAATGAAAAAGATTTGGCAGTCCTAGAAAAAATTTGTCGTGTAGCTTCATTGAAAGCATAAAAGTAAAAAAAACAACTTTGAACCACTTGTAAATGCAATTCCGCTATATCATTCAATTTTCTATGAGATATCATTTAGTTATTATTTGTGCTCAAATAAAATATTTTTTGAGGAAAACATCTTCTAGCACATTACGAAGTACTTTGATAAAAACTGCAAAAATAACAGAATTTGCAGCGGATTGCTATGGAATGCACATTTTTTATGTTTGCTCGGCGAAAAATCGATACATTGATTGATGATCGGCCAAGCCACAAGAAATCAATATATAGATTAGCTTTGATTCGAATCATTCGTGATAAATACTCCGTTAAGTAAGCGAATACGTCAAGCAATCAATAAGATGTTCATGCTAGATCGATATATTGATCGGCAGTGTCATCTCTGACAGCAAGATCGATATCGATTAACGAGTTGGCGCATCCTTCAGCATTAGTCTGGCGAAAGTGCACAAGAGTAGTCAACCACTCGACGAAATAAAAATGTTATATCGATCAGCACTTCTATCCGAGACATCAAAATCAATATATCGATCGGCTGCTGTTGGCGCATTCGTAAACTCCGATTGCCAAATATATACAACCATACAATAGATAACAACGAAAAATCGATATATTTGTTATGACTTCGATCTCAGGTAGCAAAATCAATATATCGATTGTCTACAATTCGATGCATTCGTAATCAATACACCTGTATATTATATGTAAGGAATAAAGCATTCAACTAAGTGAAAAAAACCTTGATATCAAGTGGCATTTAAGATTAAGATTCCGAAAATAGATATATTCGAAGCTACCCACCTGTGTTAACCCGTAGATAATATAGTCATCGACATCTTTGCCTTGAATGTCGTAGAAATGTCGTGAGAGACAGACATCGGCAGCCACTCTGGTCAGGACTGTATTGACGACGAACAGCACGACAGGCCACGAATAGGTCATCGTTGCGTTGCGCGAAGGTGCAAGCGATGCGCTTGACGAAAACTCGTCGTCATATGTGGAGCCGGGCTGGAGGAGAACGAACGTGGCAATGGCCCCCCGATTATACCTCATTTAAGCCGGCAGTTCATCATTCAGAAACGACGGAGTCGGCTTCGGCACCGGCGAAGCGCGCCCGGAATGCACAACAACACGAGACGCGCGGACCTTTGGGGCCAAGTTCGAGGGCGCGCGAGCGGAAGCATCGACGGAATCAAATAAGGAGAGAAAGAACGAGCGGTACAAGTTCGTGAAGGTGAATTGCTGCTTTTTGATGCTGTGGCCCGTTGAAGCGCCAAGCGGCCCTTGTTATTAGATTTAGCTGGTTATGAACAGAAAAGGAGCATATGCATGAGAGAACAAGCAACGAAAATGAAAAACGTAGGACTTCCATAAAATTATTTAGACAAAATTGGATTGTAAGCGGAACTGCATTGTGAAGCCTTTGAAATTTTTTGCGGATATGTTGGAAATGTTGTAGCTACAGGATATTGCAAAATTAGCTGGTGTTAACATTTCCAAAGAATGCAAACTTCCACAAAATTACGGATTTCCGAAAGAGCCTTGAAAATCTGAATTTTGTAGCCCCTAAATTATTCGGACCGCCTAATAAATAAGTTTGTGATGTGCAAACTGAAGCTTATAGCAATTCGAATAGCAGCTCTTAAACTGAGATTTTTCAACTGTTCAAATATTGAAACTAATTGAATCGGTTCAATGATTTGTGGAATATTTGAAGATTTCATAGTCACAAAAAATTTTTAAATCTCAGAAATTGGTGACAACATTTCCCCATAAGACTGGAGAATTTCTTATGGGCTCTAAAACCCGAACAATAGGTCCTTAAAGATGTTCAAAGTACGAGTTCGGAAGAAAAACGCTGCGAAATGACTCTTCTAGAGAGAAGACTCACGCAACAGAGATACTTTGAATTTCAATACATGAAATATTCAAGTAATATGTAATTTGAAGCCTAAATGAAATCTAGTCACACATTGAAGCACGAGCTCAATAGTCACCAAGTTTGATGGAAATGAGCAAAGCTAGATTTTTTTTGGTAGATTGGAACTACGTGTAAAGATTAAAACGTTTGATTGTTTGTTAGACTGGCAACGGCTATTACATGGATTTGAAACACTCAAACTATTAAAATACTTTATGACTTCTATTAAGGATTAAAAATTCAAAATGAACTCTAGTCATAATTTCCAAGCATAGGCTTATTAATCAGCAAATATGACGAAATTCTATCTCAAAGCTAATGCAAGGCTTAAGAAATGTTGTAAAGGGTCGTCTAAGGACAAATGTCTGGTGACCTGAGAGCTTCGTAAAGATAAACAATGAAAAATACTTGGAGGGGCATGCGCACTACGGAGTTGCAGTTTCAGGATTTTGCGACTTCGAAAAACTTTCCATTTGTAAGAGCATAATTTTATTTATTTGTTTATTTATTTGATAAAGTCGACAACAAATCATATTCTAATCATAATCAAATCATATTCTTATGTTAGTAATTTATTTGATTAAACTGCATTGAATATCAGATACGAAAAGAAACGGAATTGTCGCGAAATTTTGAAACACTTCCAAAATTGGTCTTTGACCTACAAAATGTGGATAAACCAAATTTGAAAGATTTGGTTGGCTTACTAGAAAATCCTATAACAGATTTAAATATCCTATAAGCGGAGCAGACAGTTTTTAGCAAGGCAATTCACAAAAAATAGCATCTATCAAAGGGCATGAAATTCCCAAAGAGGCAAACCACCTCAGAATCCGAAGCTCAATCCATTTCTCTTCTCATAAGAGCTTGAAAAATGGCCTTGGAAAAGATTGGAATGGGTAAGAGCGGCGAAGGAGAAGAGGAGACGAAGGGCGAGCGAAGTGCTGCTTGCGCACAATTTTCAAAGGACCTCTATTCAATAGGCACATCATCAGTCAGATGCCCGTCGCCCGACAACGTCAGTGGAATACATTGAGATGAACTTATCTGGGTTAAGTTTTGCCAAAAAATACGTAAACACAGCTCAGGGGGAGGGGGGGGGACGGGCAGATGTCATCGAACTGAGATTGAGTGTTAGGTTCCCCAAAAAGAAATCTCTTCAAAAATAATTATTTTGATTTTTCAAGATGAGAATAGAGGATAAATACTACAGAATCTGGCAAAATTTTTGCTGGTAGTAACCACTCTCAATTTTACGAGAAAAAATATAAAAAATAAAAAGCCTAAAACAACGAATGCCAATCTCGATCCCAAACACTACATGAAATTGGACAAAATTCATTTTTTGGTTTTGTTATTTTCTCGTTTTGCGCCTTTTTCAGTCGAAAATATAGTTATTTTCATGGAATCTTAGATTAGTTACAGCCAGCTCTAATCACTGGAAAGGAAAGTGTGAATAAAAATCAATAAAGTGGTTTGATTTTTTTATGTGTCAATGCATGTTTCTAGGTTTCTTTTCTTCACCAATTTGAAATTGGATGTAGGCGTTATCAGAAGAGAAACTTTAACTGCGATGAGAACATAAATTCGAAAGGTTGCATTTCATTGAATTTTAATTAGTGCGTGATACTACCAAGGCGTGCAAACTTTGGAAAAAAAACTTAAACTTACAGATGAGGATAACATTCTTTGAATTTTATGGGAAATCATGGAAGAAAAAAATTCTGAAAGATTATCATTATCTTGCCGAAGATCTAATACTTAACAAAAATTGCTTTACCTAATAAAAATATGAAAAAAAACTGCTTTGCTCAATGAGAACATAATTAAGAACTTTCTGCATTCGATGAGCGAAATAAGTGAGAAAATTGAGTAAAACTCAGATTTTATGACAAAAACTGAGATTTTATGATGACTGGGTAAGGGTCGAAATGAGGATGGGGTATACATACTGGCATCAAGTCATGAAATACTTCAGAAATTCTCATTGTAATCTACTTAATGCATTCGTATAGCCGCTGCAAGTGCTTCTTTTCCATGGAAAAGGTTCGAAAGGAACTCATTGAAAAGAAATGGGACTTTCAAAGATTTTCGGCACCTAGGGAAAAGAAGAATTAGTTACGAAGCGATAAAAGAGAATTAGCGTGCAAATCCTGATTACTACTTATTCCGACCAATGAGAGAGAACGATCAAATTAGTCAATATGGCTTATTATAATGAACTTTAGTAGCATATGCGCCTCGCAGGACAATAGTTATCAGCAAACATACTTCTAAAGTACGAACAAAGAAATTTCATCCGAAAAGAAAGGGCAAAGAATCGTTAAAGCTTGAGTAAGCAAGTGACTAACAAGGCTTAAAGATGAAAAGCATCTGGAATAACATCGTACTAGTAGTTTACGCCCAATGTAACATCTCAAGAGTGCAAATAGCTCCCTGGTGCGCGGAGAAAGAATATATTGATGCAACCACTCAACAAAACCGACAAGATGTGATGTATTTCATGTCTAAAAGAATATCCAAAAAGAACCGTGAGTGCTATGGCCAGGGCTCGGCACAGGTGGCTTGCTAAGCAAGCTGGATATCTTTTGGGAGAAAAGGCAAAGGGGTATCGTTTTTATGGCCAAAAAGACACAAAATTTGCGACGTTTTTTTTTGGCCGACGATTCCTTTTCCTGGAGATTTTTTAGGGTAATTAAAGAGGACTCCGTAAAATTTCGGGAAAGTTAAGGCTTCGTTTTTTTTGCATTTTCCAAAAGCCACCTCATGCCGAGCCCTGGCTATGTCATTCTAGTAATCAAAATGTAAGGAATTTGGTTTCAGGCTCGCAACCTATTTTTTCGATTGTTAGTTTGCCGATGGAGTTTCAAGCTTTGTGCATACTTTTTGATGACTAGAAAAAGACCCATTTGTTCGTCACAAGCCCAGTTTAACAAAATTTAAAACGATTCTTTACACTAACTCCCATCTTTCAAAACTTATATCTTAGTCTGTTTTCTGGAATGAAAGTATTGTATGCGAATATTTCGTGTGTAAAATGAACAAATCAAAAATGTGAAAAAAAAGTCTCATATGCAGTCATTTTTGTTTTTGTACTCCATGTACGACAGTGTGTTGGCAAAATTTCAGTATTATAAGATAAAGACCTACGACATATGAAGTTGAAATTTGAGATTGTCAGCGGTGTATGATGCGTTTACTTCATAAATTATCCTAAAAAAGAGAATAACAATCATAACATTGAGATTATATTTTACTGTTTTTATCCGGATTAAAAAAAATCCACCGCCACCTCTTTTTCTCAAGTGTTAGGAGCTCATTGTATTACGTAGCTTAACTAACCCTGGTTGTTTCCTGAGAATCTTATCAATATTTCAAGTATAAGTGAATTGCATTTTCAGAGTCAGAGATTACATGTGAAAGTTGTTTGTACAATTTCATCACTTATACATACCCTTCTTGGAAAGTTTGACAGCCTGGCCGTCTCTTCTACAGGTGCTTTGATTATTCTTCCTGCAGTTATACTTCAAGAAAGGAAAGATTGATTTGGATATGCAAGTGAGCTCACGAATTTGAATCAAAATAACAGACGCCTGAACTAACTCCTCTCCTTTATGCCTTACCCCACCTAAATTCTAAAAAACAAAACAAATAAGAAAAAGAAATATTGAGCTTCAGCGACATGCTGACCTATTGAAGTTTGCGAGAAAACTGACAAGAGCACATGTTCAGGAAAAAACGTTCTTGTTATTGACACACCACACTCGCCAAAAAGAAGATTTTTCCCGAGGGAGCAATTTTAAAGCGACACTTCGGAAGATGCAAGTTGCATAACAAATGGTTAGAGTTGATTTTCGTTCTTATGTTGATATTAGTAAACATTGCTTGAGTATCTCAGGCTGTAATTTTAGTAGGAAATCTATTATGAATCTAGCATCTAGTATGAAATGATATTTGTAAAGGTTCAAAGTTGTTTAAAAGCCCCTAAAAATAAATTTTCTCACAAACGATAATGTTCCGAAATGGACTTAAAGTAGGTCTCCCAAAAATGAATTCATAAGATCGTGCATAAATGTTGTAACACATATT